AAGCATATCTAATTCTATCAGAACAATCATTTTTAAAGGCTGCTCAAAGAGTTACCTAATAATAGTTGCTATGAATAACCACTCAACATGTAGCAGTTTATTAAAACGGGTTTATTATTTCACATGGTTTCTCAGGGCGAGGAATCTGAGATTAGCTAGTGGTTCACAGGTTACAGTCAAGTTATTGGCTGGAGGTGAAGTGTGAAGGTAGACTTGACTGGTGTTGGAGGATTCACTCATGTGGGAGCACGTTTCAGTTTATCAAGTGAGATTCTTCAGGACAGGATTACAATATGTGGCTGTTTTCCAAGTGAGTGGTCCAGCAGACTGCCCCAAAGACCAATCTTGTAACTTTCAGAAGTGACATCCTACACTTTTTCCACAGTCTTCTGATCACAAGACCAACACTGATACAATATGAAAGGTGACTTATGCAAAGGCTGTGAACACTAGGAGGGGGAGAGATGGCTGAGGACCATCTCACATTATTTCACCAAAAATTCAAAACCAGAGATCTACGATAAAGCACATGAATTTTACCTTTTGTGTCAAAAAGCATGAAAGTAGGGTTGTAATTTTATCAATGCAAGTATAGAAAATATTTTCCCAACAAGTGTTAAATATTAAATTTCAGAGCACTATCAGCAAAAATTCCAAGACGACGACATTATAGAGAAAAGATCCACTACTACTGAGTATCTGAGATGAAAAAAATAAAAGGCAAAATGAGTATTAAAAAATTATTTGGCTGCACACCCATGTATTGCAGCTTTGTTCACAATAGTAAGGAGCTGGCAACAATCTAAGTGCCCATCAACAAACGAATGAATAGAAAAGCTGTGGTATATCCACACAATGGAATACTACGCTGCACTGAAAAACAAGGAACGCATGCAATATTCTTCAAAATGGGTGATTCAGGAGGACAATATGCTGAGTGAAGTATCTCAGTCACAAAAGGACAAATACTGTATGGTACCACTGTTGTAAAACAGGACTGACCTTGGGGTTGGGGAGAGATGGAGAAAGATGGGTTCAATAATGTATACTGCAATGAAACAGATGAGGGAGAAAACGGTTTAAAAGGGATATGTGATTAGGTATTTTTGTCATGACAGGAGTCTATAGTGAAGGCTACATGGCGGAGTAGACCTGGGAGAGGGATTGTAAAACAATGAAAGAATTTTACTTTTTCAAGAGGGTAGTGTACTGGGGAGAGGGTTGGGAGGGGAGAAAAGTGCAACAATGAATGAATGGAAATTCAAAATCTCTGTAAATTTTTACTGAATTAATAATAAATTTAAATTAAAAAGTTACTTGGCAATGCTTAGTGTCTGGTAAAAAAAATAAAGTTTAAAATATGGCTCAAATGATCTTGCAATTATTTTACTAATTTTTTGTTTGGTTGAGAGAGAACAATAGTTCTACTGAAATATAGGGAGCTCTGGTGGCCTAGTGGTAAGAAGTAGCACTGCAATCCCAAAGGCATGCAATTCAAATCCACCAGATGCTATGTGGGAGGATTGGCAAGCGTTTCTGTGATTTACTACCTCTGTGATTTAAAACCCATCAGAGGGTCAGCTGTGGGTTGTTTCTGACTTGATGGACACCATCACCACCACTACAACTGAAATATATAATCATAGTTTCAATAATGGGGAGCTCTGGTGGCCCAGTGGTAAAAAGGGTCAGTTCAGACTAGATGGCACACAGAAACAATTCCTCTAGCAGGTTTTCTTCTCGACTTTCTGCAGTGAAGATACTTGAGTTACGCTGCTTTGGCAGCAGTAATGATTTCTTTAGGGGCCTAAATATAAATCACATAACACAGAGATCCAGAGGAAGTGAAATTGTTCCTCAGTGTATAAAGCATACTACATTTGCATAAGAACTGAGTGTCAGAAGGACAGTGTCTATTTGCACCTTTTGTTACCTAAACATTAGGAAGATACATAAGAAACTAGTAAAAAAAAACCCTATGTAATTTGAAGAATGAAAACAAGATAGATGAATACAGAAAAAACTTAGCACTGGTAAACTTTAGATATTGGTTTTGAATTTTGAACTATTTATGTCTCTATTACAAATATGAAGCATTTTAAAAGTTTTATCTCAAATATTTTCTTTTAAAATGAGTCACAGTATCAAAGTTGTGCTATTAAAAAAAAGGAAAAGTTTGTATTTTAAAAACCAATGCCAAAATTTTGTTGCTATAAATTGAGATACCATAGTAAGGCTACAAACATTATTATTAAATTATATGGTGTAATATTCAAGTGACATAGAAAGAAGGCTGGTTTATAATAGATTGCCCTTTTTTTATGGTCACCCTTTCTACATATTATTTTTCCATTTTCCAACTCCTGTTCTTTTCTCTCCTAGTCAAATTCAGTGCTGAATATCTAGCAGGATTCCAAACATCCAGTGAAGTTTGTATCTCTATGGCAGCAATTACTTTCACTGTAGTGAATCTTGTGAGCACTGAAAACAGCTAAGACTGCTTTGCTCTTGCGGGTCTCACAAGTGTTCCACCATTGACAAGGCACAATCTTACCACTTTTCTATTGCTCCTTTGAGTGGAAAATACTTGGGTTTTTCCTTCCTGTCAGTTTTCTACTTTACACAGAGTTCCAACTTTTACAGGTTTTACTGTACATAATTATCTACCCACACATTCAGCCTCAAGAAGGAAAGAACTATTTTATTATTCACTTTTTAACCAAAAGAGTGTAATAAAGTGCTGTGTACACAGTTAACTACATACATTATCCAGATACATAAAATTTGTAGGATGGCTGCATAATATAAATAAGCCAGATTTTACTTTATATTTCAAAATTCAGGTCAGGGTGGGCAGGGAGAAAAGTGCAACAATGAATGAATGGAAATCCAAAGTCTCTGTAAATTTTCATTAAAATTAATAATAATAAAAAAGTTAATTAAAAAAAAGGGGAAAAACAACAACTAAAAAACCCCCAAAACAAAACAAACAAAAAAATTCAGATCAAAACCAGATCATTGCTGACTGGGCACAAATAATCATTTTATTTCTTCTTTCAAAAATCTTGAATTTTAAAATAAGTAGCAATGTAAAGAACGTGATGAAATAAGTAACAAATGTGTTCAGAAATATACATTTACTTAGAATACTCTAAAATGTGATATAAACTTCGGGGACATACTTCCATTTTTTATTGAAAGGCAAGATTGTATGAAAACAAATCCAAAACCATGCTCCTATGGAAAGAGTCCTCCACCATTTGATTATTTTAAGGTCAATTCAATATTCACAGACAGTACAATTATTTACACTGCAAAATAAAACACTGTATCAAGGAAAAAAAATTAAGTTTAATTCTTTCAGTCTTGTCAGTGAACTTTGTAAGTTGGAATTTCACTTAAGACCTGTAAAATTTTACATTGTTATGAAGCTACTTCTATAAACTGATTTCTCTGAATTCTTGTTCATACTGTGTGTCTGTGGCTAGTTCTGCAGATCTGATTCAGTAGACAGCACATGGCGAAAATTATTAACATGCTTAGTCACTCTCAGTCTAAAAATCACAATTCCTGACTTATATAACTTTGACACTGTTTGCAGGTTGGATACTTCATGAATATATTCCTTAAAATGATGCTATCTAGTTCTTTTTATTGAGATATATAAGTATTTTTGATACAAAAACCATATATATATATATATATATATATTCCAAAGAAGAATAAAAATAGCATCAAAATAAAGATAATTTTATATAATTTAAATGACAGGACTAATAAAAATATGCCCTTTCCTATTTTAAGAACTCCCCCCCAAATAGACTTGTTTTCTTTTTCCTGTTTGCAGTAAAGAGGAAAGCTCTGTTACAGTTTGAAACTTGATCAGGGTCAAAGGCTCTAACTCAAACACAAGTTTCACAGGTCTTAAATTATATAGAGTTTAACTTAATATTTCACTAAAAAAACCCCTGCCATATAAAGAACATAAATATGAAAAAAATTAACTCGTCTATAAACCTTTATACTTAATACATATGTTATCCAAGAAAATTCCAAGAATTAAAATAAAAGTAAAAGACAGCTTGCTTCATGCTTCATTTATTTCTACATAAATATATAGAGACTAATTCCAGGGTCATCCTGCCTGTCGTCACTCACACTTAGAAGTGGTAAATACAGTGGTATACTTAAGAAGGAACGTAGGGAAAACAATGTACTGTAATAGAAAAATAGTGCTTATTTATAAATTATTAAAGATTTAGAAAACACATACTGAATCATGTTCTTCCTATAAAAACAATATACTTAAATATAGAAGCACAAGGTCCTGAAGCACCCACAGTTATTTTAAGTATATCCATTTAATCAAGAAAAAAACTTAAGTGTGTGTAGATATATAAAATAATTCGAGAAGGGAAAAGGCAAAATTCTGATTTTAATCAAAACAATCAGAGTTTATCTAATCATGGAGTTAGATCTCCACTCCAATTACAAATAAGTTATCTGGTTTAATCAAAGAAATATAATTTAAATTTATGATCTGAAGATTGGCCTGTGCCACTGAAATACATTTCTAGTAAATTTCAAAAGCAACTGAACGGACATATATACACAAAACATATTTCCTCCACAAGGTTCCGTCTGAAAATAGCCTTCATTCAAACCGTTACTGGCATAAAGAGGTATACCTAAGTGCAGACACCTTGGCTTAGCACTTACCAACACAGTAAATGACACATTTCTCACACAGGAAAAGTTCTGGGATTTTTAGTACTTGTATTAAGTGTAAAGCTTCAAAAAGGACATTCCTTAAATTTTTAGAGTTTTAAGTGTTGTGCTAGTGACTTAAAAATATCATTCTTGCCTAAAAAGCAAAACTTAGGTGTTTCAAATATCAAACATATTCACTTTAGTGTAAATATTTAGTGCAAAGCACTTCGGTCTTAGTGTTAGAATTCTAACAAATCACTTCATACTGTTTAATATGGCATATGCTACCATTAAAAAAGATTCTCTATAATGAAAAATACTAATTCTATTTCTAATGGTAAACTAGTCGAGTTGGAGGTCCCACCATGGATCACTGGGATAAGAGCACTATCAAGATCATTTAGATAATGCTGAGGAAGAAGATGTCCCGCAGATCCTGCCTGAAACTCAACCTGGAAAAAAAAAAAAGACAAATTCTTGATCAACTGGTTAGCTTAGCATATGAATGAAAAAAAAAATTTAAAAGTACCATTCAGTTTGTTGTTGTTGTTATGTGCCGTAGTCAAGCACAACTCATTGCGACCCTATGAACAAAAGATCTGAACCCTGTGTTATCCTGGGTTCCTCTTTTTTCACCAACCTTCGACCCTTCACAACTTCATGTCCTTTTCCAATGAATAGCACCTCCTGGCAACATGTCCAAAGTATGTAAGCTGAAGCACATTCTTGCCTTCAAAGAGCACTCCAACTGCACCCTCTCAAAGACATATCTGTTTGTTCTCTTGGCCGTCTATGGGATGTTCAGTGTTCTCCAATGCCACAGCTCAAAGGCGTCTAGGACCTTTCCTAATTATTGAGTAGTGATGTCAGTTTGAAGACTAAGCTGTATCTGATTCAGGCCATGGTCTTTCTGATTACTAGCATAGTTCATCATTCAGTTTAAGCACTGATAATAAAAGCTTGATATTTTATATCTAACAATGTCCTGCATTGTCCTATATTTCTTTTATCCATGGACCAAATAAATTACAATTTATAAATACCATAAAAATGCTACTAGTTCATATTTCAGGTTTCTTTTGTTGTTAAGGGCTGTCAAGTTGGCATACTGGTTAAAGCTTGAGTTTTTAATGTCTTCTTATGTTCACAGAGAGGATTTTTGGCCATAACAAGTTAGAATTATCACAAGAACAATGGAATTGGATACATACTAAGGTAAGAACTGGTACAATCTACTTCTGGGAATATTTCTTGTGGACACATTCAAACTTACACAAAAGCAAAATACTGTGAACAATTCAAATGTAAATCAAAACATACTGAATATACATCAAAACTAGTGAGATAAATTAGGGCATCTTGATGCATCTGATTGCTATGCAAATATTGAAAATCCCCTCTGAGATATACATACTTACTCGGACATGCATATAGTCACACACAGTATGCAAAAAATGAATAAACTGACTGCAAGACTGGAGAAGGATTACAACAAACAGAGGTGTGCTAAAGAGTGTTAATCAGTAACACGAGAGAGATTTTCCAGGGCTGCTAACTCAAGTAATTCTAGTGGAGATTACATATATTGCAGTTTGGATCTCTAGGGGCCACCAACAACTGGACAGAACACAGTGTGAATTCTGCCCTTGGGAGATATTAAGTATATAGATTTAGACATTAATAGTTTTAAATCACATAAACATAGAATCTAGAAAGACTAAAACAAAAAAAATCAAGCAGGAAAACCAAGCAAGAAAGTATCAAAACAGGAGGTGCCAAACTATGCCCCATGGGCCAAATCCAGCCTGAAAGCTGTTTTGTAAATAAAGTTTCACTCAGACCAACCACACAAACTCATGTACATATTGTCTACATACATATTTATACACATGTGGCTATTCTGGCACCATAATAGCAGAAGTGAGCAGTTGTGACATAAATTAGATGGTCCACAAAGCATGTAAATATTTTATAGTCTGGTTCTTTATAATAAAAGTTTGCTCAAATCTGTTGTGGAGACTAAGAGGTAAAAGCAAATGAAACAGGCAGTACACAGTCAATACTCAATTTAGTTCCCCTTCTCACTCCAAAATAAAAAGTTTAAAAACTTTTGATTATCACCACCTGATATTACTGTAATATAATTGACTTAAAAATATATGACTAAAACATGACTTACCATATCAGTATCAATGGAAACTCTGAGTCCAATTTTATTCATTCCACTACTTTTTAGAGTTTTCAGATGAGGACACAGAGCAGCACTACAAGCGATGGCAATTTCTTTTGCAAACTGATAATGAGTTGTTGAAATTTGTTGGTCCTGGTTCTTCAGAAAGTAAAACACCTGAAATATATTTAAGAAACAAGTTACGGTTAAGATTAAAAAGAAAAACTATCATTGTTATTTCAATTTAACTTTATTAGTAAAATTCCAATGCTAGTACCAGGCAATTCACTAGTTAAGAACATTTAAAATTTCTGGAAAGATGGAAGACTAGGCAGCTATCTGGACCCTCTAAAACAAAGAGAAAATGGATAAATATGGATGACAATCATGGAATGTGGAGCTTCAAGGGAAAAGATAAAGAAGCAGTTTATAGTTTAAATGCGGATGGGGAACCCACCCACTGAATAAAAAGAGCAAATAAGGAGACAAAGCAGCAAATTTCTGAAAGTGAGGGAACCCAGGACTGTCAGTGCCCACTCTGGTGGCTGGAAACCAGAAAGGGGTCATTTTCCTTGAATTCCCCATATCCTCTCAGTGATAATCCTTTTATTCTTTCTCCCTTTCTATTCTTTCTCTCTTTTTTGTTACTTATTTAGTTATGTTCTTTAAACTGGTACTTAATTTGAAATTTAAGATTTTATTTTTTAAAGAAGAAGAAATAGAATGATTCTTAGTGCTGAGGTAGTAATGACTTATTTTTTATCTTCTCTTTGCATACTATTTTCTCTGAATTTTGAAAATATTCACCAATATGTTGTCTACAAAAGACACAGTTTAGAAACAAAAACTGAAAAAGACTTAAATGATAACATTAATTTATCAAATGATTTTTTGTGTTATCAAATGATAACATTAATTTCTGATTAAATAGAGCTTTAAGGCAAAACCACAAGAGACAATAAAGTATATTAAAGGGTCAATCAAAACATCACCATGATTAATTCTATGCATCCAATGACAGAGCCTCAAAAACAAACAAGTCAAACTTTATTAGAAACAGACAATTCCATAATAATACTAATACTAATAATAATAATAGACTTTCATACACCATCCTTGATAAAGGACAGAACTGGAAAGAACCTCAACAAAGAGCTAAATGCAATTAACCAAAGAGCTCACAGACATACAGAACAACCTGCCAAACAAACAGCACAATAAATTTTCTTTTTCAGGACACACAAAACATTCTCCAGAGCACGTCATAAGTTAGTTCACAAAGAAAGCTCCAATAAATTTAAAAATATCAAAATACTACAAACCATCTTCTCAGATTGTAATGCTATAAAATTAGAAACCAACAACAAGAAGATCAAGGGGAAAGACAATTACATGAAAGTTAAATAACACTCTGCTTAAAAACAAGAGAACTTAACAGAAGAAATAAAAAATAAGATTAAAAATTTTACTCAACTCATAATTAACCATAATACACCAAAACTTCTGAGACACAGCAAAACACAGAGCCAGAGAGCAGGTTATAGCCAATATGCACATATTAAAAAAAAAAAAAAATCAGCACCTTAATGCAACAGCTCTAATACTTAGAAAAAATATTTTTTTAAAAAAAACACCCTAAAAAGCTTACAATCTACAGAAGAAAGGAAATAATACAGATTAGTGTAGAAATAGATGAAGTAGAAAACAGAAAAACAACAAAGAATAAATAAGACTAAAAATTCTTTGAAAGGATTAATAAAATTGACAAACCACTAGCAAAATGGAAGAAAGGCAGATGCAAATAAAAGGAGTAAGAAACAAAATGGTCAACATCACACTAAAACGAAATGAAATAAAGGATAGTAACAGAATACTAAGATGACTAAGATCCTGGAGAGAGTGTAACCAGTGTTCCTTAGAGGCAAGGATGTCAAAGCTTTGTCTCACATACTTTATTTTTTCTTTTTAAATTGGTTTGCTCACAAAGTTCATATACATTGTATTCATTCATATTGTGTTTCAGACACAATCCCACATATTGTTATTTTTATGTGTCGTTGAGTTGTCTGTGACTCATAACGACCCTATGTACAACAGCTCTAAAGCCTGCCCTGTCCTGAGCCAGTCTCACTGACTCTGACACACCTACCCCCATTGCCCTAGTTAGTGTATATATCAATCCCTCTCATCCAGGGTCTTCCTCTCCTGTGTCCCACCACCCTGCTGAGCATGATGTCCCTCTCCAAGGACCTGTCCCTCCTGGCCATGTGTCTGAAGTATGTGACATGGAGTTTCAAACTCCTAGCCTCCCAGGGGAAAACTGGTTTCACTGTCTCCAAGATAGCCCTATTTGTTTTCTTGGCGGTCAATGCTATGTTCAAGACTGTTCTCCAGCACCACAACTCAAAGGCATCAAGTCTTCTTTTGTCATCCTTAGTCATTGTCCAGCTCTCTGACCCATAGCGAGTAACTGCCAAGGCCATGGACTGAATGAGGTGCAACTTAAGTCTCTAGACTGACATCGTTGCTTCTCAGTACTCTGGAGAGGTCCCTGACAGCATATTTTCCCAGTGCAATTTGGTTTTTTATTTCCTAACTGTTGGTGCCAACAGTGTTGATTGTGGAGCTGAACAAGCAGAAACTGTTAACAACCTCAATCTCGTCTCCATCTATCATGGTTTTGCCAATTTGCCCAGTGGTGAGAAACTTTGTCTTCTTGATGTTGAGCTTCAATCCATATTGAAGACTACAGTCTTTGACCTTTTGCAGAAAGTGCTTCAGGCCCTCCTCAGTTTCAGCAAGCAAGGTTGTGTCGCCTGCATACTGTAGGTTGTTGGTGAGTTTTTCTCAATTCACATGGTCTCACATACACTAGAGACATCATGCTTGGAAAGGCAGAGGGTCAGAGAAAGAGACGGACTGATACAGTTGACTGTAGCAATGGGCTCAAGGATAATATGGATGGCGCAGAATAGGACAGGGTTTAGAACTATTGTTCATAGGATCGTTATGAGTCATACAGGACTCAATGGCACTTAACGAGACCTGTGTTCTAACAAATTTGGAAGCTCAGAAGAAATAGACAAACTTCTAGAAAAACATTACTAATTATACAGTCAAGAAATCAAAAGATGAATTGCACTGGGAAAATCTGCTGTAAGGGACCATTCTAGAGTACTGAGAAATAGCAGAGTGGATTATATTTGGGGGTAGGGGGTG